TGTGTGTGTGTGTGTGTGTGTGTGTGTGTGTGTCCACTTCGCTCTCGCGTCCACCTTTGATTTTCGCTAATTGCTGAGATGCGTTTCTAGATTTTCACAAATTGAAATTTCTGAATAATGAACTTAAGAGATTACGTACGGACGACGATTTCGTCTCTTTCTCTCTCGTCTCTCTTGTGTGAACGAACTTTTTCTTTCCTTTTTTCACTACGCTGCCTGCTACCTTTTTTTTTTTTTTTTTTTAAGAAGCCTGCTACCTTTTACCATGTCCTTTTCAAAAAAGCATAACTTTGTTAAAACTCCCGGATTTCTTTCCCAGATTGTCATCATCATCATCGTCATCACCATCATCATCATTATCTAATTACTTCTCTCTTCTCTCTTGTTTGAACTAACTTTTTTCCTTTTCACTTCGCTGCCTGCTACCTTTTTCCATCCTTGTCCTTCTCAAAAAGGCACAACTTCGTTAAAACTCCCGGATTTCTTTCCCAGATTGAACTAACTTTTTCTTTTCACTTCGCTGCCTGCTACCTTTTTCCTTGTCCTTTTCAAAAAGGCAGAACTTCGTTAAAACTCCAGGATTTCTTTCCCAGATTGTCATCATCTTCATCATCACCATCATCTAAATACTCCACATTAGAATTTCCAGATTTCTTTCCCTTAATGTCATCCTCATCATCCTCATCATCCTCATCATCATCTTATCACTTCACGTCAGAATTTCCAGATTTCTAGTCCAGATCTCCTCCTCCTCCTCCTCCTCCTCCTCCTCATCTAATAACTCGACGTTAGAATTTGCAGATTTCTTTTCCAGAATGTCGTCATCATCATCATCATCATCATCACCATCATCATCACCATCATCATATTAACATCATCATCATCATCATCATATTAATAATTATGCTGATCACAATACACATTAAACGCCCCGTGGACCATACGATTACCCTGATGACAAAAGAACGCGCAACACTCGAGGTGTGTGTGCAGTGCGGCTAGGCCCAAAAAGAATTGTCAAAGATACTGTACGTACGAACTGAAAGGAAAAAAACCCGATTATGCAAATCAACTCCAGCGATCACTGGGGTCACTGCATTTCCCGACTCCTTCCCTCCCCCCCCCCCCCCCCCCCCAAAAAAAAAAAAAATTACATCATCATCATCCCTCGAGCTCGCTCTAGTGTTCGAACTCTTAACCCTCTGGGCCTCTACCGATCCTCCCGACTTCGCTCACATGTATGAGACCCCTCCTTGTGCTCTGCAATTCGAGCACTCGGAAAATTGCTGCTACACACACGTGTCAACTCGTGTTCGAACCCTTCAGCAAACTGCAGATCGAGCGCCGTACAGACTACTATAGCTTTACCTCCTCCTTTCCCAATTCGATCATCACGCTGTAGAATTCGCGCGCTACTCGTAGTGCGCACCGGAAATGAAATGTTTTGGAGACCCCCCTAAACCCAGCTGGGAATAGGAGGGGTAGGCCTCGGGGGGAAATGGTGTTGAACGGGATCACGAATTTCATAGTAGCCACCCATCTTTTTTTTTTAATTTTTAGCCACGCATCTTTAAACAACTCGTGTTTAACACAACGATGGTTTTTTTTTTTTTCTTCTTTTTTTTTTTTTTTTTTTTTTTTCCCACCCGATCGTTTTCACTCACCCGAATACAACGTAGGGTAATTATTGCTGTATCTAGACTCAAAATTTGCCCCTTTATTGCTGTATCGAGACTCAAAATTTGCCTCTTTATTGCTGTATCTAGACTCAAATTGCTCCAGATACCGCTATAATAATCGTACATAGTATTCAGGTAAAGACGGGTATAGCCTGGAAGGTATGATATGGGGTCTTAGATCAGCAGCACGACGTATTTTCGACCTTAATTACTGTGAAACATATCAATATCAAATCACGTTGAAAATTTCGATGACAGCCTGTCAATCAAATCGCGCAGACGGTTTTCGGTAGGTAATAAAAATAAACCTAATCTGCCCCCCCCCCCCCAAAAAAAAATGCAAACAAGCAATGAGCCCAGGCCGCCTGCGCGCCCCTTGGCAGAAGAACCCCACAAGCAAACTTCGTTTTCTGCATGTGTCGCAGAGCATCACCTCCTCGTTTCTTTCTTTCACTGTCAATCCCCTTATTTCTTTTTTTTTCCCTCCTTTTTTTTTCTTGTTCAGAACGATCCTTTCGCCGTTAAATCCCCATTTTGGTAAATCCCTATTTTAAAAAAAAAACTGAAATCTACGACTTCGTTCATCAACTTACACCACCACCACCACCAACAACGACAACAACGACACCAACGAGAACAACGACAACAAATCGGAAGATACATACGGTAATAAGACGAAGAGACGTAAATTTACAACTGTTGGACAAATGCAAAAACGTTCTCGTCGGCACCAAAGAAAAAAAAAAAGAGAAATCACGTGAAGGAAAAAAAAGAAGAAGAAGAAGAAAGGAGAAGAAGAAGAAAGCGGGTGAAATATAACCAACGCAGCACACCACGTGGTAGCCGGGGGTTGAACACGACAAGAAACGAAAAACACGTGTCGTAAAACCCCAAAGAAATTCAACGAGGAGAGAAGAAGCGAGACGAGAGCGCAGAGAGGACAAACAAGCGGTCTTACGAAATGCTGCGGACAAACCAACAACCACCCCACAGGCGGTCGTCAGTTCAATCTGTGAGAGAGAGAGAGAGAGAGAGAGAGAGAGAGAGAGAGAGAGAGAGAGAGAGAGAGAGGAAGGGGAAACGGTACGGCGAACTAGATCACGCACACAATCATCACACAGATGGCGTAACTCTCCTTACTTCTCCACTTTTCATTTGCCCCGCTCCTTCATCCTCCATCATTCCTCTATTGCCAGCTCCATCCAACCCCCCGCGCCCTCCCCCCTTCTCTCTCTCACACACACACAGACAAATTCCACTCCCATTCATTCTCTTTTCCTCCTATCCCAGGATACTCCACTCCGCCTCTCTTCGCTCTCACACACCCATGCCCATATGGACACTCCGCTCCATTCAACTCCTATTCACTGTTGTTCTTCTCCGCCTTCCCCCCCTCCCTCCCCTCTCTCCCTCTCTCTCTCTCTCTCTCTCTCTCTCTCTCTCTCTCTCTCTCTC